TAATAGTTCCTGCAATTTCTGTTCTTTCTATACAAATTCCAACTGCAGGATTAAAGATGAATATTCGTTTTAGAAACTTCAATGGTGACTACCTGTCCTATTAATCATAACAAAGGGGAAAAGAAGAATTGGAAGGTCATCTAGGTGAATGATCAGAATCATTCGATGACTTGTTCTTCAAAGCAGCTATTTCCTCTTCTTGCTGTTTCTTTAGATACCTGTGTGCAGTTGCATTCACAATCTTAACGAAAAAACCAATTAGCATGAACCATACTATGGTATTCCAAATGAAAGCAACTGAGAAATCCCATTTCTTCACCTGATAAGAATACATAAATTGTTAGCATGAATGTAAATACAGCATGTTGACTGGAAGAGGTTGGAACGAGGAATACCTCAATATTTGAAGAAACGTTTGGTTTCATAGCCATGTACTTGTCTTTCACGGAATGAAGCTTGGTGATTAGGTTGGGTAGGATAGAGTCGAACCCAGGTACAAAACTGAGCACCCAAATCAATTCATTTTCTATCCAGTTGAGAAGTTGATTGTTGCACACACAAATAATAAACACTGTCTGCAGAAGATTTAAGTAACATTTATGAGAATTCTTGTCAAGTTTTAAAGCTTAGCAGCTGAAGTGATGAACAATAGAATATTTATTTGGAGTGGCAAAACACCAATCCAGTCTGGTTCTGACCCATCCGGTTTTCTTCAGACCCAGATTGAATCTGTAATAATTGGAAATTTTACACATGGAGCCATTGATTCCATGTGTATGCATGATCCGAACCAAACCAAACCCAAGCTTAGTCCGGTCCTTTAAACAGGCAATGATGCACTTATCATTTCAGATAACACTAAACCAGCAACGATAAAAGTTTAGCACGGTCCTTTGCCTGAACAATATATATATATATTCACCAAATCGGCCAATCTGTTTTATTCCTGTATTTATTTTACCCACCCCTAAATTATTTACTCACTGCCTTTGGGCGGGGTGCTTGCAAACCTGTATGTGAGTTTTGATGATTGCTTTCCCTATCAATGTTGCCAGAAAAAACTCCCAAAAAGGAATTCCAAATTGTCCACACATGATTCCTGCAAGATCAAATAAAGGATTTGGAACCTGCAAAATATACCAGTTTGTCAACAAGTGCAAATAAATCTTGAAACTGAACACTCTTCCTGGGATTTCACCAAGGAGAAAAGGATCATCTACTTTCTTTGCCATTTTCTCAGCATATTAGGCTGGTTCTTAAAAGTAAGTTTGTCAAACTTACTTTCAAGTTACTTGTTGAGTCAAACATGACATGATTTTAAATCACATTTTCCACTAAATCTTAGCTCACTTTTTAGAAAAGTAACTTTTAAGCACAGTGAAACATGCTACTTTCCAACAGAGTGATCGAGGTGTGTATTCGGAATAAATAACTACATGCTATCTATCCGCACAACTAAAATATAGCAGACAGTAAACAATATAATCTAAAAAGTACCAAGTTGCATATGATGGATCGTTAACAGAATGAGTATGCATCACAAGACTAACCGAAGCAAGAGCTAGAATAGTAAAGTAGTTCAAGTATTGGGCATGTGATAGGAACCACCGCTTAATTTGATTTAACCTAGCAGATATAATGCCATTCTCTTCGCTTGTGGACATATCCAAGTCTTCCATGGGATCCACTCTGTCACCTGCTAAGCTCGCTGTAAAAGAAAATATACAGAAGTCCTGAACATGTTCACTATTAACTAATAGCAAAGATAAGACTCTTTGAATTAAAAATACGGCTTTGCTACTTGTACATCACAATGTACATCGGGGTGTAGCCCCTTATGTATAAAAGTTGATGTACAAG